CGGCATCTCGGCGGCAGCGGCTCAATTGCTGCGACGGATGCTGCAACCGTATTCAGGCTGCTCCGGCGATGCTGCGACGACGTCGTTGTTCTTCGAGCCAGTGCTGCAACGATCGTCGACAAGTAGCGAGTGGGCACTGCGCCGCCGCAGCTATGCTGCGAGCCGACGCTCCGAGGCCGTTGAAGATCCTTTGGCGGGCGACTTTGCTGCGAGCCAGTGCTACTACGATGCCGCCGCTGTGCTGCGAGGCCGCCGGAGTTGCTACGACAGGTGGCGTTGCCGCAAGCCGGTGCTGTCGGTGCCGCTGTGCAGGCTGCCAGAGTTGCTAGTTGCTATGGTCGTGGTTGTGTTATGCGATGGGAAGAACAGAGGGATGGAAGACCATGTTGGGTTGACTTTTATCGGCGGCTAGGGATGCCCATATCAGAGGTGGATGTTGTTTTCTTTTGTGCATCCGGAGGACGCCTTGCAGGCGCCAAAAAATAACCAATGAGAAAACAAAGAAAACTAGAGTGAAAAATAAAAATAAAACAAAGAAAACCATGAAATCAAAGAAAAAAGTAAATAAAATGAAAATAAAAAGAGGTGATATTTTTAGTTTCGTCCCGCTTCGTTTGGTCCCACTTCAATTAATTTCACGTACGCTATTTGGTTTCGTAACTTGCCACCCTTTTTGACTCAACGGAGAAAGCCCACCTTGCGGAGCACTGAGGCCCATGTCCGGAGAGCTGGCAAAAAATAAAATTACTGATGGGAGGGTTCGATCTCATAACCCGCGAACCGGCCACGCACAGTTTGTCCAACTGACCCAACTAGAGATATGAGAGGATTTTTTTCTCTTGTTGTAATGCACGAGCCTTTTTGCTAGTAAAATGAAAAAAAAAGTAAACCGGTCGAGCCTCGAACCTAAAGCGATCGACCGCAGCTAAATGGGCCAGGCCGCAAGTGGTCGCCCGTAATAGGCCTTAGGGCCAGTTCTTTTCGGTGATTCTCCCAGAATCATCCCCTCCCCAGCTTCTTCCAGAATCTTCACTTCATAATTTTTTTACAATCATATCTAATTAAGGTCTAATTAGCTAGGGCCAGTTCTTTTCGGCGATTCTCCCAAAATCACCCCCCTCCCCAGCTTCTTCCAGAATCGTCACTTCATAATTTTTTTACAATCCTATCTAATTAAGGTCTAATTAGCTAGGATTGTATAAACATATAGAATGGTGATTCTAGGAGAAGCTGGGGAGGCTGGCCCTTAGAGTTCTCGCAGACCGCAGTGAATCAGATAACTACGGCCCAGTTAAGCCCAGGTCGAAGTCTCTCGCCCAGATCGGGGGTTTATGTCTCCTTCCCCGCTGAGAAAAGAAGCAGCTCGTGGCAGCTCCCTGCAAAAACCCTAGCTTTACCTCCGCCACCAAGCGCCTCTACGATGAAGCTCGTCAGGTAACCGGTGCTCCTTGTTCGACCTTTTTTCTAGGATTCAGTTTCGATTTCCCTGGAATTTACTGATTCTTCCGGTGCAAATTTTCGCCCAAATTGGTGCGGATTTGGGTGGCCTGCAGATTCTTGATGAAGCTGAACAACGAGACGGTGACCATCGAGCTCAAGAATGGC